TGTTGATCTCGACACCGGTGTTGATCTCGACACCGGTGTTGATCTCGACACCGGTGTTCATCTCGACACCGGTATTCATCGCGATACCGGTGTTGAGACCAAACCAAACCAAACACCGGTGTTTAAATCTCAACACCGAACAGGTCTAGTTTTAATTACCAAACTCCTCGAAAACGGTTTGACCGATTTTACAGAATAGGTTTTTTTATTTTTTTATGATGTGACATTAAAAATACATACAACCCTAAATTTTCAACCATCAACCCATATTTTTTAATAACGATATTAGTAATTCAATAATTTTCAACCTCTGTTAAAAAGTTACTGTTATCCCATAAAAAATATTTATACATATGGCAAAACAACGTTTGCTGGGTCAGCTAGTGTATTATATTTGATCAAGTACATCCGAGAAAATGAAAATATTCCGAAACTTGCCATACTCTTCGCTAGGAAATATTCGCTAAATCGCAACGTTTCTGAACTATAGGCGAAAGTTTGAAAAAAGTCCAAGAATTTTGCCATCCCTTGGGCCTCCTATCCTGGTTCGAGCGGCGGTCGAACAATAAGAACCGTGCAAGCCTAGAAAACATCTCTTTCATCTGAAATGAAATCTCTTCTAATCGAAACAATAATTAACATAGCTTTTCAACACTTTTTTCCAAGTGGTCCCTCTAATTTAATTGACCTATTATGTTTATCGCTCTCGAAATCAAAATCGCGGATTTTTATCAGATTTATATATGTTACTGCTAAAATGGATACTTGTCTAGTTTTCAAACTAGCCAAGTATGCACTTTAGCCGTAACATAATGTATGTATAGGTACAATAAAAGAGAAATAATTCAAACGCTTGCGTTCTGTTAATATTGTTTAAGTTTATAGAAAATAAAATTTAAATAGACAATTGTCAAGGTCGGCTAGGTAACACCTAACGGTGAACTTACATAACTGAATTGCAAATGAGTTACATTAGTCCTTATTAGTTTGCAAGTTTAGTCATACAAAGAACTGTTTGCTTTAGTTATTAATTAATATATTATCGTTCCGCGGAAACTGTTTATTGTTCAGCGGAATGGAGGACATTAATTATAGCTGGTATATGCGTCAGTCGTTATAAAATGTAGCATGCTGTTTTTAATTACATTACGATATGTGTTATTTTGAAGTAACCAATCTTTTTTTTGTAGACTGTAAAAAAGCAATTAATATTAAATCCGCGCCATAATCCTAGTCGATCACAGTGTTGCATGAATATCGAAATTTTTGGAATAGGTACTTTGTCCGAAATAAAATTCGCGTTTTCAATTCCTGTTTAAAGCTTCATTCGGAACCTCGCAATTAGTGGAATAAATTAGCGGTTTCAATTATTACACTTTATACCGCTTCAATCAATTCATTCAATTCAATTTATTAGAATAAATATGTATAAATGCAAAAAAAACTTTTTTCTTGAAAGCAATACCACAATTTTATAAAACGGGCCATTAAAATACTATGGATAACGCAAACGACGCCTCGCGAATTGAAACGATATTCTATTGGTCTGACGTCACCCGCCGTTCTCGTCGACGCGCGATGGCCAGCAGCAGCCAGACGTGTTCCGTTTATGTACGTATTTAGGTGGCGTACTAAGACATTTTTGTTGCTTGTAGCGTCGATTGAAGGAGCTTTTTATGCTTTTTTGTGCAGTTATTATTTGTATGTGTTGTGTGTTCTGAGAATTTTTTAAGTAATGGCAGATTCCGGGTTTGTAAAAGCACAATCAGATAACTTGCCAAAAGTCGATGCTTTTATGTTGGATGTTTTTATAAATACAAATTCCCAATTTATTGGTGCTGAATTACGAGGAAAAAAACAGAGAGGTATGTAACATCTATTCTTTGTAGTACTGAGGCATATTTAAGTATAAGTAGGTACCTACTGTTACGAACTGTTATATAGTTATAAATTAATGTTATAAACTTATTTTTCAGATCAGGTAGGGAGACGTATGGAGGTAATGCTGTAGGTTATGTAGAAGTGAAAAGAGACATAAATATTTGTTTAGTACGTGGAAAAATAACTCCAGAGCATAGCGTGAAAAAGAAAGGTTTTTTTATATATTGACACCCCCTTACCCTTGTTATTTTTAAAGATTGTTTTTTTACGAAATTATAGAAAATAAATTGTTTATCAGTAATGAAAATATTATACAAAGGTGTCCCATAAGCAAACGCCAAAATTAAGTTACTTTTTAAGTGAAACACCCTATATATTTTGGATTCTTCGTAGATTTCTAGATATTCTAGATATATTTCATGTATAATATCCTATACCTATTTTCAAATGTTTACGAAATATTGACAGTTGAAAAGCGAAAAATACCTACAATTTTCTGGACCACCTTTTTGAGACACCCTGTATAACTAGAATTAATTTTAAAAGAGAGTATATGAAAAACCATGCAACTTTTTTATTTAATGTTTTCTTCTAAAACTTGCAGTTAAGGCTGTATGTGGGTGTCAAAATATAATGAATAACCCTGTACATTCAAATTTCATATACCTATGTAAGACAATATACATAAATATATGACTTTTTGGCCCCTTTTTTTCGCTACTCGTATTTTTGTTTATAAATATATGAACTTACATCAAAATGATCTTCACAACAATAAATCGTAAAAATAGAGGATAATTTAACGTTTTTCTTTTCATCTCTTCTCATGGCCGTGGACTATTTTTTCTGTTTTCGCTGATCCATTACTATTTATAAATATCACTAATTACTAATTATGTATTAATTAACACAAATAACTAAAATTTTGACTCGGATTCAACAGCGTTTAAAAGCAAACTGTGTAAAATAAACACGCGTCTGGCTCCACTCAACCAGAAGAACGGCCGGTGACGTCACAGCGACAAGGCGCGGTAGAGAGAGTTTGCCCGGCCATTTAAATTAACAATATTTAATTATTTTATATTAGAGGCATTTCTTAACCGATATCAACGATTTTTTTTTGTTCAATTTGTAATTATATGAACTATTTTTTAAAACCATTATTTAAAAACATGCATTTTCCTCATTACCCCGCAATAAATATATTTTTTTAATATTTTAATAAAAAGAGAAACATTTTATATTATTATATGTATTTTTCTAAAAGAAAAGCTATTGCTATATTTCTAACATAAAATAGTTAAAAAAAATTATTAAATACAAACATTATTTTGGAATTTTTTTTTGATTTAATTATTACAATATCTTGAAGACATACAAGATATTTGTTCTGAGTACGGAGGTTCTGAAGCATCTTTGCTTCCTATTGCAATTCTGCATCGAAATAGTTAGAAAGTACAGATTTCTCTAAAATTTTAAAGTTACTTTCCACTTCCTATAAACCAGAAAATCAGTCGAATTAACTCGAGGTTTGTTTCGAGGACATTTTGATTCTTTTTTTCATCACAATATAGTTTTGATCGTTTTATCTATCTTTTACTATTAAATCTTGCTATTACTACTAAATTACTATTAATTAATGGGAAATATAATTTGTAATACTAACGTAAGATTCTATATTTTTGCCAACTAGATTATTAAGGGCATAATAAATTTTATGCGCCTTCATAGCTTGATGTGACAAAAACATTTTTGGCGTTTTTTTACAAGAGTCAAAAATGCAATAAATTCTAGAAGGACAATTTTACGAAAAAAAAAAAATCGGTTGTCGGTTGAGTTGGAAAATATTTATAGTAAAATTTATTTAGGAGTGGAGGTAGTTTTTACCCTTCCCGTACTTTTTCTTGATTTTTGTAAAAGTCGAATGTTAAAGCAATTAGCAAAACATAGACGCCCAAAATCTCCTTCAAATCGGGCTAACGGTTCTTAAAATATCTGAAAAAATGTGTATTTTTTTAAAGTTTGATGCCCTCTAACGGACAAACGAGGCACTGTTGTATAGAGGTAAATTGTGTCCCATGGACTTACTTTGATTCCAAAAATAGTACGTAGTTCTATGTCCACGGAATATTGGGACACCCTGTATGCCTGTATACCGATTTGGTCATCGAAACTGTGCGGTCTGGATTTTAACGTATAAGACAATGATGTAGACAGCTTAATGGAAAATCAAATGTATTAAAAAGAGATAAAAATTGGGTCGACACATTTCTTCTATGCAGTATTGCCGCATTTTGCATCAAAATTTCAAACCGCACAAGTAGGCGTTTACCAGAAATTTCGCATCTAAGGTTGGAACTTTATTTTTCACTATTATTTACTCATTTTACTACGGCTGTAATAGATTATATTTAGTTTAGATAGATAATCATCATTTCAGTAGTATACCTACATAAAAGTTTTTAAAATAGCTTATATTTTTCTACACACATTTTACTACAAGCGTAAAAAAACGACAACACTGTATGCCGCTTTTGATTTTGTTTCTCTGTCTGTCAACCGGTCATTTATATTATTCTCTGTCACACGCATTAAAATAGGTAGCCCGAAATCCACTTTAAGGTTGATTCTCACTATACCTTCCATATCAGCTCCCTTCCATTTCCCTTCCGCTTACATAAAATATTATATCATGTAAATGAATAGGACAATGCACACTATCCGTTCCGTTTCCCTTCCGTTCCATATCCTTTCTTTCCATACATTTTTTTGACGGACGGACTGAAGCGTATCGGAAACAGCGTTGTCAAGTTCTTACATTTGTTCCAGCTCTGTTAAAATTTTGTTGATATTTATTCATTTCTTCATCTCTTAATTAAATCTACTACCTTTTTCAAAAGATACAAATTTTTAAAATAAAACTTTCGTAATGATATAAATTATACAATAAAAAGTATGGAACTGATACGGAACGGAAGCTTACGTATAGCGTCAATACAATAAAAAATACGGAACGGATATGGAATGGAAACGGAAGGTATAGTGAGAATCAACCTTTACTCATACATTAGTCTGGCTTAGATGAGGGAATTTTTTACATGTGTCTTTCTTTTTTTCAGAGCTTCCCTCTACACTTCCTCTCGACTCCCTACCTACGGGGCGTGCTCAACAAATATCCATTTTCTCTCCACTACCATTCCTACAACAGTCTACCACCATGACGTAATTCGGTCCAGATCCAGCGCTCTCTAGGCCTGACAACGCGCGCGCGCCGTTGCCGGCTCTATCCCGTTTTCCAATATGACGTCCTTCATGTCGAAAAAGAAAAAGTACAAGTTCCAAGTGGAGATCTGTCTGGAGGAGATGTTGGCTGTGCCGTTCGTATCCGCCGTGCTTTTTGCCAAGTTGCGTTTACTGGACGGCGGCAGTTTTCAGGACCATTCTAGCAGGTGAGTTTTATGTAAAGATTTTTAATGGTTATATAAGAGGTGATACTGTCAACAGTCGGAGTTCGCGCTGTTTGTGAACAGTTCTCGGAGTAAACTATAATCTGTCCAACGACAAAATTCTTGACAGTGGTAGATGTGTTTGTCATTTTAATTTCAAAGTAGTTTATTTTATTCTACAAAGAAATAAGTTGGTAGGTACAATTGGAACACATAGCAGGAAACAGTGAGTGAGAATAAAACTGAAAAAATCTAATAATATAAATAGAACTATTTCTTACTTTCAAGCTTCAAGAAACTTCATGCATTTATTATTATATTAATGAATATAACTTGTACTAAGGTACAAATAAAAAAAAATAATATTGCACAAGAATAAATAAAATAAAACATAAATAAAACTTAATATTTTATTAATAATAACACTTACTGAATTTTATACTTTAAAAATTAATTAACTAACTAATTAATCTTAATTTTTTTTAATTTAATTTTTTTTTAATAATTAATCTTAATTTTTTTTAACCAGCACTATCAGTACTTTTTGACATTATCTTTCTGCAGTATTATAATCTGTCATTTAGCTATCATGTGATGTCGTTACAGGTACTCCTGTTGTTAGTACCATATATGAGATGGTATACAAACTTTACTGGTGGTAACTTTATTGGTGTATAAAACTTTCTGCCTGAACACAGAATATTAAATATAAACTGTGCCCTGGATCTACAGTTCATTTTCCCTGGATTTTTCCTCGAATTAATTTTAAAAGACACAAAACACACGTAATAACACGAACCAAAATCCAAGAACGATTCGTAAATATTTATAATCTTTTAAAACACAGGTTATTTGACATAATTTGAAAGATTTATAACCTATAATTTGGCAAGACTTTGACAGGCCTCAAAAATCTTGAGTTCATACGTTTCAGCGTCCATGCATCGTTCATCGTTGCGTCATTCCAATAATATTGCAATACGATCTGTCATTTTTGAAATAAACCAATAAAACTGATTAAAAACAACAACGTGACGACGCACGATGGATTTATTTATAAACCCATCCATATAGTTAACTTAAAAAATCGTAGAACCTTTGTTTAGTGCCTATGTTTAGTGAAATAAATAGGTTGGTATGGACGTCATCTGATTTTTTCATCGTCGTTCATTGTCATCGTCGAAATCTTACCTGAGAAAAAAAATTAAAAAAAATAGTAGAGTATAGCGCAGCTTGTGTCTAGTTCACATTAGAAAGAAAAAAAGTAAAGTATTGGTTAATATGTATAGTCCCTTTTCGGCTAATCTGAATTAGGTTAATCTGATATTATAGAATATGCCGTCGATCGCTATTTCGAAGGTAACTTTTTTCATAATTTGGAACAAAACCCAAACAAATATTTTTTTAAATAATTGATAAGATACCCCCTTTATTCGTAGTAATCAAAATTTAATATTCCTACATTAGAATAAATTATATTTAATGATAACAAATTATAGATAAATTAGCCATTTATTTACCAATTTTTGGAACAATTTATAGTTAACGAATATTGATAAGATATTGACACATTTTCGACTTTACCTCGATTATTTATTCAAAAAATTCGTGCAGCGTTTCGTATCGTTTTTACTGCGATGCGTGTGTAAAATTAATAAAAAAAACGGGCTTCTATTTAGTATTGGGACGATGAAGAATAGGGGGACCAAAGTCAAAGGCCGAATCAAAGTTTAGTTAAATACCAAAACCTGCGGTGTTGTCATATCTCGTAACTTACGCGGTTATGTTACATTTTTTTTAAACAATTAAGTAGTAACATAAGATCTAATGCCGGGTTCAGACCAAGCAGACAAAACAACGACAAGACAGAAACATTCATGTTTTACGAGAAAATTGCGACAAATCCAATACATTTCTGCGACATTTTGTCTCATTTTTGTTTTGTTTCAAAATTCGGAGACTTTTCAATGCCCCCGTTCAATTCGGTAAAGATCAAAGTGTCTATATTTTGTTCGTATATCTTACGACAAGTTGTTGGCCCAGTGTGGATGGCGTGTGCTGCCAACAGTAGGAGACCAGTGAAATCACACATAGTTAATAAAATTCATTCGCAACAACTAAACTTTTGACTTTTGTTCGTGCGGTGTGGACAATTTGTCTTGTCAGAATTCCCCATTTTCTGTCGCAAGTTTGTCTTATTTTTGTCTCACAATCGTGTTTACTTTTTGGCGCCTTGGTTTGGACCCGGCGCGGCATAAGACATAAGATTTCAGATAAAAAAAACGAGATTTGGTACAGTATAGTTTTTTTTTTGGTACGGGCATTTTAAAACATTTGCCACTGAAATCCGGGCGGAAAAAATTTCATATGCGAAATCTCAGAATTTTTCAATCTGAACAAGCAGAAACATTTAAATTTTGTTTATGAACTGAGTCTATATTTCTGCATTGGATTCTATAGCGGGTTAAACGTAATAATTCCAATCATACGAGCACATAAGAATCTTATACTCGCCGAAAAATGTAAAATATTAGAGTATCTTGATTCTGGAAAAAAACTCTTCAAATTGCGGAACAGATTATGGTTTCAAAATCTGCAGTGTTTGACATGCACGAAAGGGATAAAATAAGGACTTATATATCAAAATAATTTTAAGGGCCAGATAGGAATACCATTATCGATGACGTATTGTTTTAAAGGCAAATGAAAACAATTTGCAATGGAGCGATCCGCGACAGTAACACTTGCGTCTATCATTTTAAATCACAGGTAAATTGTATTTTCTGTCATTTTTGGGATATTATCTGTCGGAATCTTCTCTGAATCGTTGGACAAACTATACCATTGTACAACTGGCTTATATACAACAACGAAATGATTACGCACCTATTTCATAAGAAATTTCACGAACGAAAACAGAATTTTTAGCAAGTTATGAATTGCTAAGTAAAGTCAAGTTAGGGCACGAAGCACGTTTTTTTTTGACGATTTGTGGCCAGAAATGTAGTGCTTTTCCAGTTGTCACCGCCGTGATTCGCCAGGAAAAAGTTTAGATCTGTTGTTCTAGATATGACAATATGCAAAGAACAAGTATACAACGCAAATGAGTTCATCAAGATGAAAAATCAGATTCATATTAAAAGATCGAAAGACCGATTAACTGATTATGCGTGCTGCAACGCAGCGAGGAATCATATTTTTATGGGAAACTAGTATTTATCTATAATTAAGATTAACAGACGTTATTATTGACAATTTTTGAGCTGTTTTCATTTAAAAAAGGCACTAAATGCACCTCGATAATCCGGGCGTATCGTATGCCGGAATGATATTTGCCTGGAATACTGAAGTTCAGGGCCGCGTTAAGGTGACTTGGTACCCTAGGCACCATTTATTCTGCCGCCCCCTTCAACTAATAAAAGTTTAAGATTGTTATTTAAAAAATTCAAGTTTAAGATTGTTATTTAAAACATGCCGCCCCCTATCAGCCAGCCACCCTAGGCAGCTGCATATCTTGCCTAATGGATAAACCGGCACTGCTGAAGTTATGTATATACTGTATATGACATAAGTTAGGATTGATTGATGTATTCAAGTGTTTTCGGTCATTTTCTGTTTCACCGGAAATGACTGCAACTTTTAATTTTGAAATGGTTTTATTTTTTGTAAAATGCTACTGCGTAGAATCCAAACGGAAATCAGCTTGTCAATAGCTTTTTACTAAACTCTCAACAAATTTCAGATTATTAACTAAACACCAGTTGTTCTCATAGATAACCCACAACCTTAAATTTAAAAAAACAACGCTTTGTTCCTTATGTTATATTCTTTTATTATTATTAACTTTAACTTTCTCTTTAAAACCGAACACTTTGTCTTATATGCCATTAAGACTGAACTGTGTAAAAGAAATAATACTCTCTTTCATACACTTTCTTAAATTTTAAAAGTTCAATTATACAGTTGTTTTAACAGCTTTAAGAATATTCTTGAGAAAAACCATTATCTTGTTTAACACTTCACCCTTTTGTTATAACAACTATATATTTCTTACTCTTTTGATCTCCCGATTATCGTAGCTTACTTTTTGAGGCTGCTAAAAGGACGAAAATAAATAAAAGTTATTCAGGGTGTCCCAGAAACAAGTGCAAGTATTTTAAGGGATGGTAGATCTGGTCAAAAGACACTATTTACTCTTTACCATGATTTATAACTGTTGAGGGAAACGATTGAAAATATTTCGCAATATGGCGATTTATCGGTTGCGATTTATTTAGAGTTTCCATTATTTTAGTTTACTAAACTGTAAAAAAGGTATTTAAAATAATAGACGTTGCACTGTACTTAATAGTAATCTACAATGAATAAAATTAATTTAAGTATTTTTTTTGTTGAAATTTAAAAAAGTGAATTTATAACTTATAAACATACAGAATGTGGATAGCGTAGGAGGTGGCAACATTTTATTCGCTCCAGGCACTATAAACATCTTTCCGGATACTAAACAAGTGGCAATCAAAAGTTTTTCATTATTTTCCGGAAAATATCAAGAAAAATATAAAATTTTGAATTTTTTTTTGCAAAAAAACTTCATGGGCGTGTTTATGGGGTCGAACTATACTATCAGTTAAAATAGTTGCACTTATTTCTGTATAGGGTGGTGACAATTTCGATACTCAACATCGTCGTATTTCGGAAATGACAAAAGTTACTAGAAGTTTGACAAACGTCTGTGAAGAAAATTCCGGTATCTTCCGACTTATATGTATATGCAAAAAAATGTTTCGTGCCCTAACTTTTTAGAGTTTATCTAGCAAATGATTACTTGCTAAAAGTTCTGTTTTTTTCGTGAAATTTCTGATGAAATAGGTGCGTAATCGTTTCTTTGTTGTATAAGCCAGTTGTACATTGGTATAGTTTGTCCAACGATTCAGGGAAGATTTCGACAGATAATCCAAAAAAAACAAAATATCAGAAAATCCAATTTACCTGTGATTTAAAAT